CTAGAGACTAGAGAAGGGTTAGTGTAGCCAGTTCTACAGCTCTCTTGAAGAATCAAGATTATTTCACAGTCACAACTCTACCCTTTGACTACCAAAAGATGTGAAGTTGTTTGATTGATTAATTTTCTTGTTTGTTTTTGGTTCTTTTTGTTTTGGTTTGGGGGGATTGTTGTTGTTTATTTTGGGTATTTTGAGACAGGGTCTCCCTGTAGCCCAGCTGGTTTGAAAGTTGCTATGTAGCCCAATCTAGTCTTAATTTTAGAGATCCGCCTGTCTCTGCCTCCTGAGTGCTGGATTAAAGTCATGCATGGCAGGATGTGATTTTTTTTTTTTTAATTGAAGTCAGAAAGAGAATAGGAAAACAAGATTTCCTGGTGTCCCTTACTGAGATGATCACATAGTCCTTCTGTCTGCCTTTGTGTCTATGTTTGTGTATTCGTCTTGCTTCCATATTGTGTATTTTTTGAAGAACCAAGCCATAACTTGCTTTGCTTCCTGTGTACAGCATTTTAAAGATTAAGTTTTATGAAAAATAAGCTCTGCGTTTTCCTTATAATGGCCATAAGAAGATTATTGTAGAGATGTGTGGTTCTTGTTATAGATTTTTAGGCACATGCTCCAGCTCTGATGTAATAGAAAACCTCTGCCTGTATCCTGATAGTTCTAGGCTCCATGTGTTATGTTCTATACTCCCTAGTTTGGTTTGGTTTTGTTTTTTAAACACAGACTGTTTCTCTTTATTTTCCAGAACATTTTAAACCTATGACCCTATCTAGCAGCTTAGTCTATAATCATAAAATCTTTCACATCTTTAAAATTGACAACATTCAGAAGGGATATGTTGCTGAAAACCATTAGGTTTCAGAGTGGTTCTTACTGTCATTGTATTTGGCAGGACACCAGACAGCTGCTAGTGATAGAATCTTGTCTGATTTTGTACTTCTCTGGTAAGCTGCTCCCTTGAAGAATTGGCTATTTGAAAGTTACTTGCTGGTGGCCCAGATCCCTCCTGAATCTACCACATGAGTAAGACTAGAAACCAACCCATACCCTCAAAGCTCCCACAGCAACTTAGTGTTTCCATCTTAGTCAAACGAGTCCTCAGTTTCACTTTGATAGTCATCTCCTAAGAACCCAGGGGTCATTCATGATTTAGACACAACCAAAGAATTTTTAGAACATTCTCTGATGAGGTCTTCCAAGCACAGCTGAGAGAAGGTAAGAGCACCCAAAACATAGCATGACTGCAACATGGGGCTAGTAGTTCATACTTCCAGTTTACATTCAAAGGAATCGTCACAGAGTCAGGCCTGGGTAGGAGTAAAGAATAGCGTTTAGGGGCTGGAGAGATGGCTCAGTGGTCAAGAGCACTGACTTCTCTTGCAGAGGACCCGGGTTCAATTCCCAGAACCCACATGGTGGTTACGAACCATCCTTAACTCCAGTTCCAGGGGAATCTGAAGCCCTCATCTGACCTCCGAGGCATTGCACAACACGGGTGCTCTCACATACATGCAGGCAATATAGTCATACACATAAAAATAAATAAAAATAATAAAATATTTTTAAAAAGAATAACATTTGCTACCAAGGACTCAGTAACCAAAACAAAGTGGGATATTATTAAACTCATTAATAATCTTTAGTCCTATTATGTTTTCAAAGGGTTGTGTGTGTGCGTGTGCGTGTGCGACTATAGGCATACGCCACCACTTCCTGCTGGTATTTTTATAGTCAGGATAAATGATGTTAAGCTATTTGGGGAATTACCAGTGGCTTGGTTCTTCAAAAAACACAATATGGAAGCAAGACAAATATACAAACATAGACACAGAGGCAGACAGAAGGACTATGTGATCATTTCAGTAAGGGACACCAGGAAATCTTGTTTTCCTATTCTCTTTCTGACTTCAATCAAAAAGAAAAAATTCACATCCTGCCATGCATGACTTTAATCCAGCACTCAGGAGGCAGAGACCAGCAGATTTCTATAAAATTAAGAAATTGGGCTACATAGCAACTTTCAGATTGGGCTACATAGCAACTTTCAGACCAGCTGGGGCTACAGGGAGACCCTGTCTCAAAATACCCAAGATAAACAACAACAATCCTCCCAAACCAAAACAAAAATAACCAAAAAATAACAACAACTTCACATCTTTTGGTAGTCAAAGGGTAGAGTTGTGACTGTGAAATAATCTTGATTCTTCAAGAGAGCTGTAGAACTGGCTACACTAACCCTTCTCTAGAAGAAATTTTATATACAGTCATAAACAAAGAACAAGGAATAACTGAAGCAGATTTGAGAGGCCAAAGAAGGATGTCAAGTGTCTTCTTCTATTGCACTCTACCGTATTCCCTTGAGACACGGGAGGTAGAGACAGAAGGATCAAGATCATCTTTGGCTTCATGAATTTGAGGCCAGCCTGAACTACATGAGACTCTATCTTACAACAATCAAACATGAAAAAGGGACTAGGGAGATGGCTGAGTGGGTAAGGGAGCCTGCAGTACAAGCATGAAGACCTGAATTCAAATCCTCAGCACCCATGTGAAATAGCTGGACATGGATGCAAGCATCTGTAACCCCATGTTGGAGGGCAGAGACAAATATCTCCCAGGAGTTCAGTGACCAGCCTGCCTAGCCAGAATAGCAAGCCTCAAGTTCATTGAGAGACCCTGTCTCAAGGGAATATGATAGAGTTCAATAGAGGAAGACACTTGACATCCTTCTTTGGTCTCTACATGCACAAGCACAAGCAAGCACACCTGCACACATGAATACACAACACATACAAACAGCTCCCTCAAATACATATGTAAATGTATGTCCCCTCATATCTTAACATATTGGTATTCTAAACTTATTCTTGTCACCAACTGGCACTGTCCCCTTCCCTGCCTCTCTCCACCTCTGTTAAATGGGGAGTTATGAGTAGGCAGTGTTTCAAGGTACTTTTAAGCTCTCCTGTTCTGAGGCTAACCAGATCAGCTGGCCTTTCTCTGTAGAGTCAGAAACCCAGGAACCAACCCTGTTGTCTCCAGTGCAATCCTTGGAACCTCAAGGATGGACATCTCCAGATCTTAGCTGTAACTTACAGACCTGATATTTCTCTTCTGGAAATTTGAACAAGCTAATATGTGTGTTTTATTTTTAAATGGGTCTGAGGAAAGATAGCTCAGTGGTTTAGAGCACTGGCTGCTCTTGCAAAGGACCTGGGTTCAATTCCCAGCACCCACATGGCAGCTAAAAGTCATCCAAAACTCCAGTTCCAGAGGCTCTAACTCCCTCTTCTGACCTCCATGTATACTGCACAACACAGGTGCACCTACCTACAA